TTCTCCCCTTCCCTCCCTCCCTCTCTTTTTTTCTCCTCCCTCCCTCCTCTCTTCTCCTCTTCCCTACCTTCCTCTCCTTTCTCCCCTTCCCTCTCCCCTCTCTTTTCCCCTTCCCTCCATCCCTCACCTCTTCTACTCTTCCCTCCCCCTTCTCCCTTCTCTCCTCCCTTCCTTCCTCATTTCTCCCCTTCCTTCCCTCCTCTCTTCTCCCCTTCCATCTCTCCTCCCTACTCTCGTCTCTCCCTCCCTCCTTCCCCTCCCCCATACCACTCCATAGACATCTCTTATCAATCAATTCAGAATGCCAATAACCTTTTATACAGTCACCCTATCCATCATTCATCAGCCCATAAAAAGCACACAATAAAAACCTGACTGTATTTATACATTAGGACTAGGGGATCTGTTGGCATATATTGGTTGCCTCATGCATTCACTTACGAACTACAGCGAGATTTTTCTGTATCGTTTAAGCTTGGAAGGTCTTCAGTAATTGCTTTTGTTGATATTGTGAACTTAAAGAATCAGAAATGAAAGATACAAGTAAATATAGAGGAACGGTTTTTTTGGGGGGGAAGAAAGATAGAAAAGTAGAAATAAAATACGTCAAGAATTGATAAGACAGAATTATGGTTTGTGAATACAAAAGACTCTCATATATCATGTCGTTGAAGGTCTTGTATGCAGATCTGTGGGTCAAAAATTCTATATGAATAAATTTTAGAGAAAATTGTGGAGTTAAGCCTTTGGCATGATGCTGAGGAAATGTTCAGTTATTTATCTGTATGTAAGAAAGACCTATATAAAAAAAATCAGAGGAAGAATAAAATGTATATAGCGTCACAAAAATCTCCAAAATCCAAGATATATTTACTTTTCGAAAGTACGTCAACAAAATTATAACATTTACAAATCAGTAATTCCGGTATATTTAGAAACTACAGGAACGAACCAAGAACAATAGAAATAACTATATTTTTTTTACAGTCTGTTTACACATACAAAAATAACTGCGCTTTTTTTAAAGACTATCAACAACGTTTCTCTTGACGAAATCTGAATAACTTCTATATTTGAAGGAATTATTTTTGAAGCTATATCTGCGATTTTTTTTTCAACTTTTGGCAACTTAAGTTTCAACTTTAGGTCACTAAGTACAAAGGGAAGAGAAGAAAAATAGAGGAGATTTGGAGAACAGAGGAAGATGTGAAGATACACAAAAAATAATTATGATGAAAAAAAAAGTTTCCTGAAAACTGACTTCGTACCAAGGTGGAAAGGGTTGAGGGGGGCGGAGAGGGCATGGGGGATGTGGAGGAAAGGAAGGGGGCATAGGAGAAAGGGAAGGGAGGGAGGAAGCATAGGGAAAGGAAGGGAGGGAAAGGCGGCATAGGGTAAAGAGAGGGGAGGGAGGAAGCATGGGGGGAAGGGAGACAAGGGAAGGGGGATATAGAGAAGGGAGGAAGGAGGGATGGGGGGAAGGAGGGGAGGGAAGGGGGCATAGGGTAAAGAGAGGGGAGGAAGGAAGCATGGGGGGGAAGGGAGACAAGGGAAGAGGGGCATAGGGAAGGGAGGAAGAAGGCATGGGGGGAAGGAGGGGAGGGAAGGGGGCATAGGGTAAAGGGAGAGGAGGGAGGGGACAGGGGTAAAGGGAGGGGAGGAGAGCTCATAGAAGATGGGGAGGAGAGGGAAGGGAAGGGGAGGGGGGAGGGGAAAGGGGTAGAGAGGGGGAGAAGGTTGAAGGACCGTTAGTGTAGCATGAGATATTCGAACGTCTTCCAGTGACCTCGTCTCCCCTTCCGCGAGGCAGCCGGCTTCCTTTCCCCTTCTTCCTCATTCCCTCTCTCCCTTTCTCCCTTTCTCTTTCTCGCTCTCTCTTTCTCTTTCTTTTTTCTCACTCTCTCTTTCTCCTTCTCCTTCTCTCTCTCTCGTTGTCTTCGTATGTCTCGTTTTATGGACGTCTTGCTCTCAATCTTTAACTTTTTCTCTTCTTCCTCCTTCATTCTTCTTTTCCTTCCCTTTACTCCATCTTCAGATCTTTCGTTTGCCCGTCTTTCTAGTTGTGTCTGTTCTCGTTTTTTATTATTTCTCCCCCCCCTCCCCTTCTCTCTCTCTCTCTCTCTCTCTCTCTCTCTCTCTCTCTCTCTCTCTCTCTCTCTCTCTCTCTCTCTCTCTCTCTCTCTCTCTTCTCTCTCTCTCTCTCTCTCTCTCTCTCTCTCTCTCTCTCTCTCTCTCTCTCTCTCTCTCTCTCTGTCTCTTTCTCCCTCTCTCCCTCCATCTCTCTCTCTCTCTCTCTCTCTCTCTCTCTCTCTCTCTCTCTCTCTCTCTCTCTCTCTCTCTCTCTCTCTCTCTCTCTGTCTCTCTCTGTCTCTCTCTCTGTCTCCCTCCCTCCCTCCCTCCCTCCCTCCTTCTTTCTCTCCATATAGCAAGTTCCTTCTTAGACCCAAGCAACGGACTCTTACGACCCGTTAAGCTTTAACCTCCCTAATCCGGATTTGTGTATAAAAAAATCAATAAAAAATACAAAAAATAAAATGTAAAAGACCGAGAGAGAAAAAAAAATACTCCCGTTATCCCCCGTCGACACACACTCGACCATTTTCAGTCCGGTCGCAAAAGTGAACGTATTCTCAAATTAAATTCATTCCCTTAATCAGAAAGTGATCATTAATCGCTGATGTGATTATACATTCATAAATTCGATATGCAGATAGATAAGATTCTTTTTTTTTTCATTCATCTATTTATAATTTGTGTTTTGGCTCATTAGGCTAAATGGCAACACGGAGAGAATATAAAAAAAACAAATGTTTATGATAATGATATTAATCATAATAACGGTTTCTTTTTTTTTTCTTTTTTTATTATGGTAATATGTCAACATTCTATGTTATAATGTTGATAAGGTAATCGCCTTCTCTCTGTTCTTTCTCTTGTGTTAATGATAATGAAATACAAATAAGATTAGCAACACTAGATTTAATAGTAATACTAGTAGTAGTAGTAGTAGTGATGATGATGATGATGATGAATATAATAACAATGGTATTGATAATAACAATAATAAGAACAATAACAATGATGATGATGATAATAATGATAATACTAATTATCATTATTATTATTATTATTGTTATTATTATTATTATTATTATTATTATAGAATAATGATAATAATAATTATGGAATAATGATAATAATAGAATAATGATGATAATAACGATGATAATGATAACCAAAAAAGAAGCAAAGTAAGAGAAAGACATACAAGAAACAGATAAAGAAAAGAGGGGAAGAAAGAGAAAATATAAAACAGATAGACAGAAACACACACACGCACATGCACATCACACAGATGGAGAGAGAGAGAGAGAGAGAGAGAGAGAGAGAGAGAGAGAGAGAGAGAGAGAGAGAGAGAGAGAGAGAGAGAGAGAGAGAGAGAGAGAGAGAAACAGAAACAGAAACAGAAACACACACACACACACGCACACCACACAGATGGAGAGAGAGAAAGAGACAGACAGACAGACAGACAGACAGACAGAAACACACAGACACAGTAACAGACACCCAGAGGCAGAGAACACAAAGGCAGGAGCCAAGAGACGCCCACGAGAAAGAGATCACGCGAGAGGCGCCTCCCGGGGTGGGCGCGGGGGCACTCGCCAGCCTCGGGACAGCCGGATGGGCAGGTCCTTGACCCAGTGCAGGCGGGGAAGAGGGGGGGGGGGCGTGGGATAGAATAGGGAGGAAGGGGAGCGCGATTAAAGAAAGAGGGGATAGGGGAGAGAGATTAAAGAGAGGGGGAAAGAGGAGAGAGATTAAAGAGAGGGGGAAAGAGGAGAGAGATTAAAGAGAGGAGGAAAGAGGAGAGAGATTAAAGAAAGGGGGGAAGGGGAGAGAGATTAAAGAAAGTGGGGAAGGGAAAGATAGGGGGAATGGGAGGGAAAAAGAGAAATGCGGGAGGAACGGAAGGAAGAAGAGGAATTCGGGAGATAGAAAGAGCGGAGAGAGATAGAGAGGAAGGGTAGAGTTAATAAATGAAGGAGGAATTGGCAAAGGGGGAGAAATGGGAGGGAGAAAGAGAGGAGGATTGGAAGAGACTAAAGAGAGGAGGAAGGGGAGAAGTGAGAGGGAGAAAAAGAGGAGGAAAGGGAGAGAGGAAGAGGGGAGGAATGGCAGAGAAAAGAGGAGACAGAAAGGGCGACGAAGGAGGGACGAAGGAGAAAATAGGGTGGAGGGCTAGAAAGATTAAAGGAAGGAGGGCATGGAAAGAGAGGAAGAATGAGAGAAAGACAGGAGTGTGAGAGAGAAAGAAAGATGAGGAATGAGAGAGAGAAAGAGAGGAGGAAAGGGAGAGAGAAGAGGAATTGGGGAGATTGAAAGAGCAGGGAAATGGGGAGGATGAGTAGAGAGATTAAAGGAAGGAGGAAATGGAAAGAGAAGATGAATGTGAGAGAGAAAGAGAGGAGAGCGAGAGAGAAAGAATAAAATAGAGATGAAGGAGAGAGAAAGTAACTGTGGATAAAGGTAGGAAATATAGAGAGGAGAGAAAGAGAGAGGATAAAATAGGCAGGGAGAGAAAAGACATGGATATGTAAAGAGGGAGAACGTGAGAATAGGTGAAAAAAAATGGGTAACAAAGAGAGAAATGAAAGAAGGAAAAAACAGGAGATAGAATTGAGAGAGAGAGAGAGAGAGAGAGAGAGAGAGAGAGAGAGAGAGAGAGAGAGAGAGAGAGAGAGAGAGAGAGAGAGAGAGAGATACCAAGACACTAAAAGATAATTAGATTGAAAAAAAGAAGAAAAAAAACTATTTACAGAAAATATACATCATAATTTCCAATCCATTTCCCAAAACAACACAATCAAGCCCACCCATTTGCATTCCTTTGTTTTTTACTTCATTCTTATAATTAGATTGGAGAAGGAAAAAGAAAAAAAAAACAGTAGCATCATCTCTTCAATTTCCGGTCTAATGCAACGTTTCTTGTTCTGCAG